AGAGAAGCTAATGTGAAGATACTCACCAGATGGTATCTGGTTCCCATGCGCCTACCCAAAATGTACCCATCTACATCCCCTCTCTGCTTCCATGGGTGTGGTTTGCAGGGTTCTAATGTGCCACATTTGGTGGGAATGCCCAAGGATCCATAGCTTTTTAGAATAGAATGGAATTTTTGCTCTGCTTCGCAGAGTCATGGGGGTTTCTGTTCCACAGACCCCTGCTATTGGAGGGCGTCCTCCATTACCTAAGTCGTTTGATTATTTTATATCCTGTTAGGTGCAAAGATGTCTATTGCTAAAGCCTGGAAGCAACCCTCTGTGTCTCTAGCTCAGGCAAATAACAAATTTACATGCATCATACTCCAGGAGAATGCAGTCAGTATAGTCTGTGATACAGTGGCAAAATTTTAATTAACGTGGGAACCATAGGCTAAGTTTATGAATGTTGTTTTATGACTCTCTTTGGGGGATAAGGGAGGGCACCCCCTCACAGTTCATCTCCAGATCTGGCTTCCTGCTTCTTTTTCCTTTCCTATTTTTTCTCTGTCTCTATTTTTGGTCTGTTCTTTTTGTCTTCTAGGATATTGCTGTTAGTCTCTGGTACGGAGATTTGCATATCAGGGAGCTGTGGGTAGTGACCTGTTTTTTTGTTCGGGAGGGCAAATTGTTGGGAGGGTTTATGGAGAAATATGTGACTCCTTCCCCTTCCATACGTGTTTCAGTATGTACCTTATTTTGATATAGAAATTTCGTAATTTGGTACACTTTCGTGATGTCTCAAACACTTCTCTTTCTCATGTACCAGCCTGTTTTGATATTGATACTGTCCATACAATTTGTTAAAATTTTATAAAAATTATTGAACGTAAAAAAACACAAATAATATTTATAACCCTGACACAAGACGCCTTATTGACCGAAAACGTATAGAACCCATTTACTATCCTTCAAAGTTAAAAAGGCACTGAGATGGTCCAGGGAGACATTTTTATTATATATGCCAATTCCACGTTTGCTAGAAAATTCATTCTCTCTATCTATATATACATACATACATACATACATACATACATACATACATACATACATACATACATACACACACCAAGCACTCCTTTTAGTCTATCCACCTCACACCCTCACAAGGTTTTACAATTGTTTGATAAATGTTATTCTTCTCTTCTTTCATCCCCTCAAGGCTCTATCTCATCTGACACTATAGCATGGTTTAATAAAATCCCTATGCCCAATCTTTTATCAACTCAATTGGAAACCCCTAATGCCCCTTGTACAGAAGCTGAGGTAGCAGCAGTCACTGAATCTCTGAAAAGGTTTCAGCACCTGGACCAGATGGATACACACCCATATACTATAAAAAATTCTTCTCTATCCTTACACCAAAATTGAAAGGGGGAAAAAGCCTGCTTGAAAAATGATGAATTGCTCATAGTGAAGTGGAAGGACAAAAAAAAAACGGGATGTTTTCGTCCTGTCTTCCAGGAGAGACCCTACCATCTGGTTAAAAGTTAAAATTAATAGTAAAAAAAAAAAAAAAAAAAAACCCAAAAAAAATAAAAATTGGAAAACCATTGATTTTTTCATTGCAGGAATGCCATCCAGCTGCAGCACCGATCTGCTTATTCCGACAGCAACAGGTTCTTGCTCTCACAATATACAGATTTTTCATCCTCAGTTAAGCTTCAGCACATATTTAAAAAAAAAAAAAATTTTGGCACAGATTTTGTCATCCAAATTGATGAATATTTCATGTGGGTGGATGCAGGGTGGTATATTCTAATGGTGGGCATACCATACACTTTTTCTGGCAGAGATTGCTCCTCTTTTTTTTCCCCATTCAGGCCACAGGCTGCATAAAAGAAAAGAACAGCATATATACCAAACAAGGACATGGTATTGTTTTTTTCAGCCGCCGATCGGCTTTCATGTAAAAGCATACCTAGTGGCTAAGCTGCAGGATTGCTTTTAAAAGCAGCGGGAGAAGACACCACAACCCCCAACCCCCCCCCCCGCTGCCTTCCACGGCTTTCTCTGGCAGTCCCGTGCCATCAGGGGAACCTGAGAATGCAGCCGGTGTTTCTGCCAGATGACCATAGAGCTGATTGGAGACTGGAATGGCGCCAATTATCTCTATAGTCTAAGAAATCAGAAGCTACGAGCAATTCATCATTTCAGTTTCGCAGGATAAAAACAGCGCCATTTGTAAATTGGGAAAGCATCTGATTACACCGATCTTGGTGAGATCAAATGATGTAAGGGCAGAGGAGATATCTAGAGTCTAAGACCCCAATTTCACAGAAAAGAATACCTGTCAATGCCTATTGCAGTTACAGGGGATACTTACATTCCCTGTGATAACAATAAAAGTGATGAAATAAAAATGAAAAAAAGGGACAGTGTAAAAATAATTTAAAAAAAAAAAGGCACGCCTTGCACGTGAGGAGTTGACCCTGGTATATAAAACAGCGGTTGCATCATGCATGTGAGTTATCGCTGCGAACGTCAGATCGAGTGCAGTAATTCTAGCATTAGACCTCCTGTGACAATCTAAAAAGCCTGTAAAAGCTTTTAAAACATCGCCTATGGATATTAAAAACGTATGCAGTTTGTCGCCAATGCATGGGCGTGCGCAGTTTTAAAAGCATGTCATGTTTGGTATCTATTTATTCGAGATATCTTCATCTTTTATACTTTACCAAACATTTGGCCAATATATTGTGTTTTTGTTCATTAAGAGTATAACATTTTTTTTTTTTTAAATTGCATTTGAAAAGTTGCTGCGTGAGTACTATGTGACATAAAAAACTCCAACACCCAACATATATATGTTTAGGGGTTCAAATGTAATTTCCTAGCCAAAAATACTGATTTTTTTTTTCATGTGAACAAAAGTATCAAAGGCTTGGTCTGCAAGTGGTTAGAAGAGTGAGTGATGTGTGGCATAAACTTCTAATGCTGGGCATAAAATGGCCCCTCCCCCTCCCCAAATGACCCCTTTTTGGAAAATAGATACCCCAAACTATTTGCTGAGAGGCATGTTGGGTCAAAAGAATAATTTTATTTTTCTACCACAAGTTTTTGGAATTTGTTTTTTTTTTTTTTTTTTTTTTACACAAATTTGTCAATTAAATGATATATTGCTCACACATGCTATGGCTATGTGTGGAATTACTCCTCAAAATACATTCTACTACTTCTCCCAAGCATGGGGATACCACATGTGAGAGACTTTTTGGCAGTCTAGCCAAGTACAGGACCCCAAAATCCAATAAGCACCTTCAGACTTTTAAAGGGCTTTATTTCCTAATTACACTTCCTGGCTACCTATCACAGTTTCAGAGACCCTTAAATGTCAGAGTAGTACGAACCCCCCCCCCCCCCCCCCCCCCAAATGACCCTTTTTTGTAAAGTAGACAACCCAAAGAATATGAGAAAAGCATGGTGAGTATTTTGCAGATCTCATCTGTTGCCACAAGTTTTTGGAAAATGAAGAAAGAAAAAAACGAAAACATTTTTTCTTTTCTTTTTTTATTTTTCAAAAGCTTGTGATAAAAAAATTAGATCTGCAAAATACTCACCATGCCTCTTTGTAAATTTCCTGGGGTGTCTACTTTCTAAAAAGGGGTTATTTGGGGGGGGGGGGGGTTTGGTGCTATCCTGGCATTTCAGGACCTCCGAAACGGTGATAGGTAGTGAGGAAGTGAGGAAGTGAAATGAGGAAGTTACGCACCTTCAGGCTTTCAAAAAGGGTCGCTGGATTTTGGGCTCCCTTTTTGTGGCTAGGCTCCCAAAAAGTTTCACACATGCGGTATCCCCATACTGAAGTGGCAAAATATATTTTGGGGTGTAATTCCAAATATACCCATGGCATGTGTGAACTATATACCATTTAAATGACAACTTTGTGTAAAACAAAAAAAAAATTTAAATTTGTAATTTTCCAAAAATTTATGGAAAAAAAAATACATCTTCCATGGACTCAACATGCCTCTCAGCACATAGCTGCTGTCTACTTTCCGAAAAAGGGGTCATTTGGGTGTGTTTGTCCTGTCCTGGCATTTTTTTAGCACCTCAAGAAATGTGATTGGCAGTCAGAAAGTAAAAGCTGTGTAAATTCCAGTGTCTATACCATAGTTGGTAGATGCTATAACTTTCACACAAATCAATTAATATGAAGTTATTAAGATTTTTTTTATTACCAAAAAGACATGTAGCAAAATACATTTTGGCTTAAATTTATGTTGAAATTTGAGTTTATTGAATATTTTTTATGACAAAGTATAAAATATTGTGTTTTTTTTTTTTTTAAATGTTTAGTCTTGTTTATAGCTCAAAAAATAAAAAAAAACCCAGCAGTGATCAAATACCACCAAAAAAAAGCTCTATTTGTGTGAAAAAAGGACATAAATTTCATTTGGGTACATACAACATTGCATGACCGCACAATTATCAGTTGAAATAGCGCCGCATTTTAACGCAAAAAATGGCCTGGTCAGAAAGGGGGATAAATCCTCTGGAGAGCAAGTGGTTAGCACATATTTATAATGTTTTTTCTATTAAGGGTCTCCAAGACCTTATGAAACAAAAAAAAAAAAAAAAAAAAACAAATCCAGGCACCCTTAGGCATCCTGACAAAATGCTGGGCTGTTAGGAAAAGTCCTGACTATTCTAAGGTAGTGTTGGAGCTTGCCTGGTCTCTTTCACCCCTCCACATTCCTAATGGCCTAGAACTTTGCTGAGCTGGCTCACTTGGCAATAGTAATTTGTGGCAGGTAAGAAGGGGAAGGTAAGCTTTAGTACTCAGGGAGTACTGCCTGCCAAAACAGCCCAACATTCAGGTTATTGAAAGCTGATGCTTTAAGCTGTGGTCTTACTTGTATAAGTGAAACATTAAATGGCTACTTACCGTCTACCCTTTTCATAGTTACTTTTTGAACAGTAATTGTTTGTAAAATACAAAAACTTTATATTGACCATTTCTAGAACAATCTACCCTCTCTCATTTTCTACAGATTCACAGCTTGCTTTACAGAGTCTTTAAACTAGTTAATAAAATATGCAGACTGCACTGTATCATTGGTGTTTGAAGATAATACACGCTTTGAGTTCCTAACTCACCCGTATTAGCCCCTGGCATGAAAAAAAAGGGAAGCCCCACTAAGCTTGTGCCGTTGACACTTATTACATGATCTCCAATGCTTAGCTCTCCACTGCGCTCTGCTGGTCCTCCATGCATAAGATTTGCAATGACAACAGTAGGAAGTAGAGATCCCCAACCTGATTCAACGATAGTCACACCCAGCACTTCGCCTTGTTGTTTCGGAATAAAAACCTATGGATTACACAAAAAAGTAAGTTATTTGTAGCATACCGTCTTCCCACAATAACTCTACATCAAACATGCTCAGTTCTGTTAATACTTCTAACATTTATATACTATATGATCATATTCCAGCCAACAAGTCACTCCAAATAATGGCTAGGAAAGAAAAGCAGATTGCTTCCAAATATGCACAGAATACAAAAAAATGCCCTAATTCACTATAAAATGTATTGCATGCAGTATTTTCATTCCCATATAACATGTGCTTAAATAGGATTTATTTTTTTAACCTATTTATCACAGTTGGGCTGAAATAATGTGTTATATTATTGCAATTTCATAAAGATCATTACATTTGGCTTCAAAACATATCACAAGGTTCTGCCTTATGTTACAAGAGCATTTCTTTGAAATAATTGAAGGAAGTTGTCAAATGAACACTGTGAAGTGAAATCAATCATAGAAAAAAAAAAAGCATACAAGCTAAAGCTAACTCCTGAAACTATATAAAATAAAAGTAATTAAAAGTTCAAACAGTCAGATAACAATCCGCCAAATGTGAATTTCTTCCTTAAAAAATGACAGCCACCATAATTAAGGTAGCTGCATAGAATGAGAAGAAAAAATTAAAAGGAAGAATTTAAATTGCAAAGTGTTACCTGCATTTTCAGAAACATCTCTGTGTTATCAATTGTCATCAGGTTTTATAAAACCACAGTACAGGTATATTTCAATTTGATATTAATGCTTTTACGTTACAAATTTATTACAGATTTTTACTTTATATTCTATATAAAGCAGGAACCAGTCAAAATTCACTCCAAGTGGCCCTGGAACTGATGTTATATTGTGCATATTTTATAACCCTACGCAGCAAGGTAAGGATTGAAGGAATCAGAGTTTATGCCATAAAATCACTGTGAAGCCCTGCTAAATTGCCTGACAATACCTGAAAACTCCCTGGTTTAAAGCTGAACTCCAGGTGCAATTACAGACATTGAAACAAAAAAAAAAAAAAAAAAAAAAAAAAAGAAGAAGATTACACACATTACCAGGTGTTGATAATACAAAGAACATTAATATGCAAGGATACAGAGATATCATATTAGGTGTGCTAAAAAGACAACACATGGCAAAGCATATAAATGTCCAAAAATATTGGTTTCAAAATACCACATGACAAGCACAGTAATGTAAAAGATAACAGAGACATTATCGATTAGGACATCAACTGCAATGACCGATAGCCCGAAATGCAATGGGGCGGTGACACGGTGCAGATGTGAAGTTGCTGCTCGATACTGGTCGGCACCTGCACAGTGAAGAAAAGTGGCAGTCTGTGTGGTGGAGGAATATATACCAGACATTTATGTAGTATATACAGGACTGTTTTGCACTTTTATGGACACTAAGGCATTTTAATAGGATTAGTTTATATTGGGACACTATATACAGTTGACATAATGCACTTTTTAAATAGTATTTGGAATAAAAAAAAATAAAAGCCCGAAAATGTTTTCATAGCAGAGCTGCAAGGACTGTGTGGTGCGCTTTTGCTGTGCTTTTCCAGGGTGATAAAAGAGCATGAAAACTATTCCTCATTAAATCCTATGCAACTGTTTACACTGCAGATGTGCTGTGCTTTGAAAGGTCTTGCATGCTGCATCTTTGGTGAAGTTTTTCAAAAACGCACCAAAAATTGCACTTTGTAAGTTATTAGGAACACATCAAAAGCGCATCAATTTGAAAGGGCCCTACTATTATTTCAAACTGCTTTTGTCCATGCCTTATTACATTCAGGTCTGGTGACTTATTTGTGATTTGTACTGCACAAGTGGGCTACTGGGAGTCAAAACACCCTGTGTTTTGGGATTAGAAATATAGCTGTGCAGCCATATGAAGTGTCAAGGTTTGAAAAAACAAAAAAAAAAAAAAAAAAAACAAAAAAAACCACACACACACCCACAAAAAAAAAACACACACACAACACACACACACACACACACACACACACACACACAGCATGCTCCCCCCCCCCCCCTTTTATTGTGGGGCACAAGTTATGGAGCATTTTTAGTTGGACTAAGAGGGAGGAGAAAAGCTTTGTCTTTTATACTAACTATAGGATAAGTTTACCTTTTTATTTATAATTGCAATTGAATGGGATTTTTGGTTTATAAAATACTTTTCTTTAAATACACTGGATGCAGGGAATCTTCATATCCATTATGCTAAGGTTATTATGCCACCTTCTGGAGACTTAAAAAAAAAAAAAAAAAAAAAAAAAAAAAAAAAACAAATGGACAGACAGACCCTGCCAACCATCACGGCTTACACAGTTACATAGTTATTTTGCCTGAAAAAAAAGGCAAAAGTCCATCCAGTTCAACCATAAAAAAAAAAAAAAGTTATAATCCTACACCCACAGTTGATCCAGGGGACGTCAAAAAACCCAGCAAAGCATGATCAAATTTACTTGACAGCATTTTGTAGCAAGCCCTGAAACAAGAAAGAATGGTTGGGATATCTGTGTCCTATGATGTATTCCAAGAAAAGGCTATGAAAGTAAAACAAAAATCCCATTTTCTTTATCATACATCCCAAAACATCTTCATATCCATTACAATAAGGATGTTCCAAAGCACTGAAAATGAGGGGACAGCAGCAAGCCTTCAATACCCGCCGATTAAAAGATATTCAGAGGCCTGATTCTTAAAAAGTGTGAACAGAAGATCAGGTAGCAGTTTTACAAACTTGAGCTACCAAAGCCTGAGGCTGGATAGCCCGGAAAGCACCAAACAGTCCCTGGCACAATAAGTCAACCCCTGAGAATGGTAGAACTTTGCCTTTCAGATCCTAACCTTGAGAAATGAGTTGAAAGAACCAAGGAGAAATAGTAGATTTGGAAATTGCATGACCTTTCAAAGAGCTCCTTAACCACTTCCTGTCCGGACACTTTTACCCCCTTCCTGACCAGGGCAATTTTCAGCTTTTAGCGCTATCACACTTTGAATGACAATTGCGCGGTCATGCAACACTGTACCCAAATTAATTTTTTACTATTTTTTTGAGACAGATAAAGCTTTATTTTGGTGGTATTTATTCACCACTGGGATTTGTATTTTTTTTGCTATGTAAATGAAATGTCCAAAAATTTTGAAAAAAAGTGGTTTTTTTTTTTTTTTTTATAAAATTTTGCAAATAAATAATATTTCATCATAAATCTTAGCCAAAATTTATTCCGTTATCTTTTTAGTAAAAAAAAAAAAAAATCCAAATTAGTTTATAAGCAAAAATTATAATTTTTTAAACATTTTTTTTTACATTTTTATTTTATTTTTTTATATTATTTTTTATTTTTATTTTTTATTTTTTTTTTTACATACGGTCACCCTAGCAGTACAGTGTCACCATGGTGACACTGTACTACTTGTGGGGGGCGATGAAGATTTGTATTTTTTTTTTTTTACACCGATTGCTTTTACACCCATATAGGATGTAAAAGCAATCATTTCTCTTTCTCTCTGTGTGCATTCTTGCACTCATTGAGAAGTACTGAGTGAGCTGTGATTGGTCACAGCTTGTCACATGGTACAAGGCTTTTGTGAATAGCCTTGTACCATGTGACCTCTGTGATCATTCACAGATTTCACACGTAGTAAGCAATGATGTCACAAGTGACATCTTGCTTACTACTTTGCATGTGATCACTGATTGGCCAATCAGTGATCACATGATCGGGACCTCGTACAGAGGTCCCGTCCGACGATCGGTGTTTCACTGTGTCCGGAGGACACAGCGGGCACCGGATCGCGGTGCTGCGTGCTCCCAGGGAGCGCGCACAAGCAGGGTGCGGGGAGGCCGTTTATAGACGGCCACCCGACCCTGCAGTGCCACCGTCCGGCCGTTTATATACAACGGCCGGACGGGAAGTGGTTAAGGAAACACAAAGAGGGAGTCCAAATGGCTAATTGCAGCATTCACCTTCAGGTAAATGTTGACTGCACCAACCACATCCAATGAACAGCCCGGTCCCCCATTGTCTGAGGCTAAGGACAAAAATGGCAGCACAATATCCTGGTTAAGACAGGACAAAGAAAACACCTTCGTTATAAAGGACAGCAAAGGCCAAAAGACTACCTTATCAGGATGGATAACCCAACAGGGAAGAGGGGGCAATTCTGAAACTATGAGCAAAAGTTTGTATAAATTAATGCAGTATGTAAAGTAATTTGTTCTTGAATATCTATATGTAGTGGTAAATATAAATAACCAGTTATATGGTTATGGAACAAAATATCTAACAGACAAATACCCGAATAACAAACAGAAGAGATGTATATACTATTAGGAGGTTGAATCTGGTACATATCAGGCTCAAAGATCAAAGTTTTTATTCAAAGAAAAAAAAAAAAACAAAGAAAAAAACACACGACCTAAAAACACAGTTTTGCAGATATTCAGACAGGACTGTGTTATAATATTATGCAAGACAGACTCCCTTGTCATAGGCAGGTAACTTGATACAAGCTACCTGCGCCTGCTATCACTTATGCTGACCATACACAAATTTTTTGTTTGAAAATCTTTGTTTTAAGAATGTTCAATTTTCTAATCATTAGCGAGGTCAAAGCGATATTTGTTTCAACCACAGTGTTGGGAAAATTCGAAGGAGGGGAATAGAAAAACTTTAATTGTAATGCCTTAGATTACCTCCTGTCAATTAGCTTCTCTGGGTTCAGATGCTGATCATCTCTGCACAGAGCCCTGTACTGAGCTGTATGTGTGCTGCACTGTACTTTCTGATATGTAAACAAATAATGCATTCTGTATGCAGACAAACTAGTTGGCTGACCAACTAATCGATTATGAAAACAGCTGACAACTATTTTCATAATCGATTATGTTAATTAGTTCTTTCAGCCCTAATTTATTTTTACTGGAGCCAGCACAGCACTGCACCCGCAATTAGCAGATCGAGAGTGCAGTCTCAGGCTCCTGCAGTGTCTTCCTCTAGATTCGTGCCTGTGTCCCTGTACAGGCTTTCAATTACAAAGCTGGAAAAAGACTGAATGAATTACGAGTGTGCTGAGCAGCATGTTCGCAGCCAATTGACACTACAAGTACGTTTGCCACAGGAATCTGTGAATGAATGAATGAATGGAATGAATGGAATGAATGGAATGAATGAATGATACAGCTGTATGAGCGAGATCTGCATAACTGTGCTGTTTTCAAAAAGTGATGGGGGAGGAGATCCCCTGCCCCCTGTCAGAGACAGGAGCATGAAATAAAATCGATAAAAGCTTTGATGGGAGATTGGGCTGATCCTGCAGGGTCCACGGTTCACCCACTGAAAAGTTTGATACTTGAGCACCACGCTCTCCTGGGCCAGACTGGGGTGAGCATAATCACTGGAATGCCTTCCATCCAAATCTTGCAAAGCTGACAAGGTAGAAAGCTGTAGCGGCGGAAAGGTGTAAATTAACCGCTTCCCTGCTACCCTATAGCAGAACTACTGCTACAGGGCAGCAGGACTGCGCAAAATCACGTATATATATATTATATATATATATATATATATATATATATATATATATATATATATACAGTCATGGCCGAAATTGTTGGCACCCTTGATATTTTTCCTGAAAATCAAGTATTTCACACAAAAAAGGTATTGCATTAACACATGTTTTGCTATACACATGTTTATTCCCTTTGTATGTATTGGAACAAATATAAAACAGAGGCAGAAAAGCAAATATGACATAATGTCACACAAAACCCCAAAAATGGGCTGGACAAAAGTATTGGCACCCTTAACTTAATATTTGGTTGCACACCCTTTGGAAAACATAACTGAAATCAGTCGCTTCCTATAACCATCAATAAGCTTCTGACACCTCTCACCCGGAATTTTGGACCACTCTTCCTTTGCAAACAGCTCCAGGTCTCTCTTATTGGAAGGACACACCTTTTCCCAACAGCAATTTTAAGATCTCTCCACAGGTGTTCAATGGGATTTAGATCTGGGCTCATTGCTGGCCACTTCAGAACTCTCCAGCGCTTCTTTGCCATCCATTTCTGAGTGCTTTTTGACGTATGTTTGGGTCATTGTCCTGCTGGAAGACCCAGGATCTTGGACGCAAACCCAGCTTTCTGACACTGGGCCTACAGTGCGACCCAAAATCCTTTGGTAATCCTCAGATTTCATGATGCCTTGCACACAGTCAAGGCACCCAGTGCCAGAGGCAGCAAAACAACCCCAAAACATCATTGAACCTCCACCATATTTTACCGTAGGTACTGTGTTTTGTTCTTTGTAGGCCTCATTCCGTTTTCGGTAAACAGTAGAATGATGTGCTTTACCGAAAAGCTCTATCTTGGTCTCATCTGTCCACAAGACGTTTTCCCAGAAGGCTTTTGGCTTACTCAAGTACATTTTGGCAAACTGTAGTCTTGCTTTTTTATGTCTCTGTGTCAGCAGTGGGGTCCTCCTGGGTCTCCTGCCATAGCGTTTCATTTCATTTAAATGTCGACGGATAGTTCGCGCTGACACTGATGCTCCCTGAGCCTGCAGGACAGCTTGAATGTCTTTGGAACATGTTTGGGGCTGCTTATCCACCATCCGGACTATTCTGCGTTGCAATCTTTCATCAATTTTCCTCATCCGTCCACGACCAGGGAGATTAGCTACAGTGCCATGGGTTGCAAACTTCTTGATAATGTTGCGCACTGTGGACAAAGGCAAATCTAGTTCTCTGGAGATGGACTTGTAACCTTGAGATTGTTGATATTTTGCCACAATTTTGGTTCTCAGGTCCTCAGACAGTTCTCGTCTCCTCTTTCTGTTGTCCATGCTTAGTGTGGCACAGACAGACACACAATGCAAAGGTTAAGTGAACGTCTCTCCTTTTTATCTGCTTTCAGGTGTGATTTCTATATTGCCCACACCTGTTACTTGCCCCAGGTGAGTTTTACAGGAGCATCACATGCTTGTAACATTCTTATTTATCCGCAGTTGTGAAAGGGTGCCAATACTTTTGTCCAGCCCATTTTTGGAGGTTTGTGTGACATTATGTCGAATTTGCTTTCTTTCCTCCCTTTTTTTGTTTTGTCCCAATACACACAAAGGGAATAAACATGTGTATAGCAAAACATGTGTTAATGCAATACGTTTCGTGAGAAATACATGATTTCCTGGAGAAATATCAAGGGTGCCAACAATTTCGGCCATGACTGTATATATATATATATATATATATATATATATATATATATATATACACACACACACAAACGTAATTTTGCATTTCCCGGCCAATCGTGCCATTGGCGGCTACAGTGGTCGATCACCAGGTTCCGGCTGGAGATTCCCCGCCGGCACCTGGCGATCACCATGAAACACGGACAGGGGAGAGTTCTGTATGTAAACACAGATCTCTCCCGTCAGCACCAGCATGCTGCTTTGTATTGCTCTGCATAGCAGAGCAATACAAAGCAGCATGCTTACATAGTGAACCATGCACAGCACACTTGGTAAAACAGCACACAATTAACCCTTTGATCGCCCCAGATGTTAACCCCTTTCTGCCCAGTGTCATTAGTACAGTGTCAGTGCTTTTTATTAGCACTGATCACTGTATCAGTGTCACTGGGGATGTCAATGGCAGTTACTCAGTTCCCCCCAGTGTCAGAATGCCTGCCGCAGTCCCGCTATAAGTCACTGATTAGCACCATTACTAGTATAAAAATGTTTTTTAAAAAGTTGCATTATATATATTTGTATATACATTTGTAGATGCTATAACATTCACATAAACCAGAATACATTTTGGCCTAAATAGATGATGAAATTTGATTTAAAAATTTTTTTTACTGGATATGTTTTATAGCAAAAAATACTGTTTTTTTTTTTTTTTTTCCCCAAAATTGGCAGTTTTTTTGGTTTATAGCTCAAAAAATAAACGCAGAGGGCCATCAAACACCACCGAAAGAAAGCTCCATTTGTGGGGAAAAAAAAAGACAAATTTCATTTGGGTGCAGTGTTGCATGACCACGCAATTGTCAGTTAAAGTAAAAAGCGCCGTATCACAAAAAATGGCTTGGGGTAAATGGGGGGGGTAAATTCTCTGGAGGGAAAGTGGTTAGCCCGCGGACACATCAAGCCCGACTTTGAAATCGTGCAACTTACAGTGAAGTTGCACGATTTCAAAGTCAGGTGAACCACTGATTTCAGGCGCGCTTTTCAAGACATCCGACACAGGGCACAATTAACTAAGCGGTATCTTATCGCATCCGAGTATGCGGTAGGATGCCGCATAGCGTTTAAAAAAAAAAAAAAAAAAAAAGTTTGAATTCACTAAAAAACGCTAAAGTACCGCATAAGGTATTTTAGCAAGTCATGCGGTATTTTATTAGTGACAAACATTTATTAATGTTTCAGCTGTCGTCAGTGGTGTACCCCAAGGTTCAGTGTTGGGACCCTTACTTTTTAATATATTTATAAATGATATAGGGTCTGGGATTGAAAATCCCATTTCAGTCTTTGCAGATGACAACAAGCTGTGCAGTGGAATAACGTCCTTACAGGATGTCTTCAACTTACAATCCGACCTCAATGTACTGTTTAATTGGGCAACTATGTGGCAAATGAGGTTTAATGTTGATAAATGTAAGGTTATGCACTTGGGGCTAAGAATATGCATGCATCATACATACTAGGGGGGAGTACAACTGGGGGAATCAATGGTGGAGAAGGATCTGGGAGTTCTGGTAGATCACAAGCTTAATAATGGCATGCAATGCCAAGCTGCGGTTTCTAAAGCGAGCAAAATCCTCTCTTGTATTAAAAAGAGGTATAGACTCCAGAGAGAGAGATATATTCCCCCTGTACAAATCATTAGTAACACCTCATCTGGAATATGCAGTTCAGTTTTGGGCACCAATTCACAAAAAGAACATTGGGGAACTGGAGAAAGTACAGAGAAGGGCAACCAAACTGACAAGAGGCATGGAGGAGCTCAGCTATGAGGAAAGATTAGAGGAACTGAATGTATTCTCTCTTGAGAAGAGGAGATTAAGGGGGGATATGATCAACATGTATAAATACATCCGTGGTTCATATAGTGAACTCGGTGTAGAGCTATTCACCCTGAGGTCATCACAGAGGACAAGGGGGCACTCTTTACATCTGGAGGAAAAGAAATTTAATCTCCACAGAAAGGTTTTTTTTTTTTGACAGTGAGAGCTGTGAAAATGTGGAATAGACTCCCTCAAGAGTTGGTTCTGGCCAGCTCAGTGGATTGCTTAAAAAAAAGGCCTGGATTATTTCTTAGATACACAGAATATAACTGGATACTAACATATATAAGTAAAGTTGATCCAGGGAATATCCGATTACCTCTCGGGGGATCAGGAAGAAATTTTTTTTTTCCCCAGCAGGAGCAAATTTGATCATGTTTTGCTGGGTTTTTTTTTGCCTTCCTCTGCATCAACTGTGGGTATAAGATTATATATATATTTTTTTTTTCTATCGTTGAACTGGATGGACTTTTCTCTTTTTTCAGCCAGACTATGTAACTATATGTAGCTGTCAGCAGGGTTCCCCACTGACAGCTGAATGTAAAAGAAAGAATTGCCGGCAAAAAAAAAAAAAAAAAAAAAAAAAACGGGTCCCCCCTCCATCCATACAAGCCCGTCAGTTCTGGTTTGGATTTTGAGAGCAACCCCCAGGCCAAAATTAAAAATAAAAATGGCGTTGGGTCCCCCCACAATACCAGATGCTTATCAGAGCATGCAGCCCGGCAGGTCAGGAAAGGGAGGGGGGGACGAAACGAGCACCCCCCCCCCACACACACCCCCGAACCATCCCAGGTGGCCACATGCCCTCAACATGGGGGAGTGCTTGATGGGGACAAGGGCCTCTTCCCCACAACCCTGGGCTATGGCTGTGGGGGTCTGCAGAGGGGGACTTATCAGAATCTGGAATCACGATGCCCGCCGCCAACCAAAAAAAAAGAAGAAAGAAAAAAAAAATAGGCTCCGCTCCTGACGCTGGCTCTCAGCCGTCTGACTGCTCTGCTGGCTTGGCAGTTCTTAAATATGCAAGGGGTGGGGGTGTGTAGGCTTTTTATATTCACTGTAGCTCCAAGAGACAGTTTCATGTCTAGTGTAAAATTAAATGTGTGAAGAAAAATCTTAATTTTTGTTTATAACATACATTTCATAACAGTAGTTCAAGTCTGATCTTTAACATTCTGGTAAAACAGGAGGTGATCACCTCTTCAGGAGGGTATCATTGCCCATAACCCATTTTTTATTCCTACCTCTTTGCAGTTGTCTTGCTTGGTAAAGTGGTCAAGATCTGCATTGTACAGTTCATTCATCTGTGTTTTCTCAGTTTGCTCGGATTGTGCACCTTTAGAATGGAGAAAGTTGTGGTATGCCAAAGCAAAGGCCTGTCCAATGGCCTGAGCAATGAGTTGTGCCTAATCAGGAATAGTAAAATTTAACTGTCAAAAAATAATAAAAACCATAATTTTTACTTTAGTTTTTATAATGAAATAACATATCAAAAAGACTGAATCATAAAGTGACAAGAAACAAAAATATGTAACAATTCTCAACAAAACCTCAAATTTTTATTAAAGTCTGGATCACTTCAATAAAGAGTGCGCGTATGGGACACCACCAGAGAACACAAAGAATGAGAATCATGCGGTTTGTCTAGGCATTGATTCCCCCCAAGCCCCAAAAAACACTATACAACACACTATACAAACACTATTTTTCCTATGTATGCAAAAGATAGTAATGCATGCATGGCTAAAATAGAAATCAAAAGGGCATTTAAAAATATATTCTATTTTTTAAATGAAGATATTACAATGAAGAGTGGCAAGAAATGTTACTGTCACTTACATCCGCGGACTGAAAGACATGACATATAATCCTATGTGGTCTTTTACGGGAGGAAGGCTTGTCTGAGCTACGGGGTAATTTTCTGTGTGCCATAATTACCACAATACTACCAATGTCAGCTGTGTAGGAAATTGTCTGCAATGGGTGGTCCATCAAGGCTTCCTAAAGTTGAAACAATAAAAATTGTACAAATGACATTAAAAACGTATAAGCATTGTCCATTACATATTTTATTACTACTTATCAAAGCAAAAAGGCACATTATTAAATCTAACCTGTGTATTTGCAGTTAGTACTTTTATGCGTTGTGTTGAAACCATAACATCCACCTCTGTCATAGGTTGAGACTCTCCATCTGGTGCCTAAGAAGTTACAGGGAAAGAAAAAAAAAAAAAAAATCAAAGAGTACATTTTAGCACAAAGCATTACCTTTACTTGCTGCTACAATAACCAAATGCATTATCTCTAATTTAGGTTTAACTCTTACTTTCACACTGTCAAAAAAAAAAAAAAAACAGAAAGAGCAGTGTAGGAACTAGAGTTGTATATTTGGAAAAAATAGTAAAATGCACTTACAAAAGCTGGGAGTTGTGTACACAAAAAATAAGTCTTTTGTACTCTACGGAAAAACCTTTTCTTGGAGTATACTGAGGGACACATTAACTTTTGTGTTATACTGTCACTTACAGGAATACGGACTAAAACAAAAACTGTCGGCTAGCCCAGGTTACGAACAACAACCTAATATCTGCTCTAGGGCCTCAATAAAAGACAAAGAATAAATTCCAAAAATGAATAAACCAACTGCCAGTAGAAAGACAAATATACAACTACCTATGAAAAACTGCAGCATTAGTTAAAGTTTTAAGAATAGTGTACCAACAGTGAGACTCCTCAGCATGAAAGTGCTTATACGTTCAAGTGGTTGTAAAGGCAGGTTTTTTACCTTCATGCATTCTATGCATGAAGGTAAAAAAACTTGAGTGCTGCTTCCCCCTGTCACTTACCCACCCTTATTCTTACCCGAGACCTATCTCGATCCAGCACTGTGGACAACAGCTGATGATCTCTCAGCGATCTCATCCCTTATTAGCTTAGATACAGCAGCGGGAGCCATTGGCTTCTGCTGCTGTCAAGCACATCCAATGATGAGGGAAGGGAGGGTGGGACTGAGTCATGCTCTGTGTGTCTTATGGACACACATGGCTGGCTCAAGAGCGAGCACACACGAGTGCCCCATAGCAAGTGGCTTAATGTGGGGGCGCTCAGCAGCAGCCTGGAGCACCAGCAAGAAGAGGAGGTTCGGGGATGCTCTGTGCAAAACCACTGCACAGAATACGTAAGTATGCCATGTTTGCCATTTTTAAAGACAAAAAAAAAAAAAAAAAAGAATGTTTAGTATCACTTTAAATGGTGAAACTATTCCTTGGAAAGCAGAACACACATATAAAGTGCAAAAATAAAATTCAAAAAAGAGAACATTTTTAAAAATAAATACATATAAACATGCAAACAATAAATACAAATCTTCCAAAGTAAAAACAAATAAATAAGTAAATAAATAAAGTCCTCTACCACAAAGATCAAAAAATTCCAGGGTGTATAACTGTATCACTTCTTTTTCCAGAGCAATTCCACAGCATGAGTGAGACTTCAATGATTGCCCCAGTGAACCACAGCCACCACAATTGAATGTAAGGCTTACCAGAAGGCTGTACCTTGAAGGCCAAAGATAAATCTTGAGCATGGTACAATCCCCATATAAAATTAAACTGATTGCAGTCACCTCATCCATTCCCCGATGTCACATTAGGCCATCAACAAAAAGAAAAAGGCTCCAATAGTGTCAATCAACCAAGATTTATTTTAATTGTGAACAAAAACACAAAAACCACATACCGCAAAAAAAAAAAAAAAAAAATGCATATATACGCAAACATGTAAACCAGGGCTGCCACCTGTGAGACCAGCATCACATGTGATGTCAAATATCAGGGTCAAGAAATTCTCTTACGCATTTCATCTAAGGAGGACTAGAGGGAAGCATGACTCCAGGCTTCAGAAGTCATTATCTTTATTAAGGGTGCTGCAAACAGCCCAGCAGCTGTGTGCAAAAAGTGATCTGGGGTACCAAAAAACTCGCAATATTACATGTTGTGACCACACGGCTCTTGCAAGCAAAAGCGAGGGAGATACTTCATTGATGCTGTAAGATGGGGGAAAACATGCATACATGACACTCTACGCCACAGGATTAACCCCTTCTATTTTAAAACAGGAAGGAACAGGGAATGAAGGCAACCAGGACCAGGTAAAAGAGGTAGCTTTGGTTGATCAGCCAGACTGGCCTACTCACTAAGCAAGCCAGTGCTATGGACCTGAAAATGCGCTAACTTAACAGAACAGAGTCTAGAAGGCACCCATGCAGAACCCTATGTCTGAAGGTCACTTTCAGGTCATCCCCACCATGTCCAGTCCAGTGTGGTACAAATGTGGTACAAAGACCAAATATAAATGCACTGGATCAATATAATTGAGGGGGCATTCTCTAGCAATGACAGAGTGAATAGTCTAAAGAAAGAAAACTGAAGAGTAAAATCGTTAGCGAAAAAAAAAAAAAAAAAAAAACACCTCTCATTAGGAAATTCTGACACCTGTAAAATTTATCTTGGAGAACAGTACAGGACACATGACTAGTACTTACAGACCATGGGTTATATGCTGCTACCTTTAGGTGATTGGACAGGGACAATGAACTTTGTTATATAACCCTTCTCACTCCATGAGGTTTAGCATGCAACAAGACGTTTTCAAGGCACAGAAGGGAGGAATCTGTGTCCTGTACTGTATTACAAGATAAATTTACAGGGAAGCTAAAATTCTTATTATTCTAATCATACAGTACAGAACTGGTATTCACTGACCATGAGAATCCTAAGCAATAAAAGTGGGCAACAGGGTAGCAACCTGAAACTGCCAACATGACCACAAAAAGCACAAGGGTTTAAAAACCTAAATAAAATACTCATAACAGCCTGAAGCACATTGTGGCCAAAGCTCGCATTGCTGATCATCCAGCTGGTAAAACTTGGAATACATGTGAACAGAAGACCAGGTGGTAAATCTTGGATACAGATGCTTGATTTGATTTTGAATGGGTTTTGATGAGAAAGGGTAGAACCTTTCAAAGGCATGAACCCTTAAGAGGAGTTGTCTGATCCATCTGGAAACTATGGAATCAGAAACAGTATCCAGAACCTCCAGGAAGAACAAAAAGGGCTATCTTGCTAAAGGAGGCTGTGGTTGACGAGTGGGCAGATAACCCTAACCACATCCAAACAATGTAAGGCAAATCATGTTTTGAGGTAGGACAGAGAGGAGAGGATACTGTTCTCAATGAGGAGACAACCTTAGGTTAAAAAAAAAAAAAAAAAAATGATTTTTTTGTTGCTCACCGTAAAATCTCTCTTTCTCCGAGTTCCTTGACAAACACAGCTCTTCAGGTTCTTGACCATTAGGGTTTTACAGCACCACCTACAGGAGTCAGACACTAGGCAAAATGAACTCGGCATCTTCTATGGGCAGTCCTCTCTGGCATACATCCCCTTTCTACAGGCAAGCTAGTTCGTCACAAAGCAGTGTAAAAAGCTACATCTCCAATAGAGAGGTGGGCCCCCACACCATGCCCAGGATCGGAAGGGGGGTCCCCCATCTACTTACCAGGTCCAGTGGAGTGTGCGGTTTAGGTTCCCAAGACAGATCTTCCACTGAAGTGTGTGTGTGGGGGGTTGTCAGCAAGGGAAACACTGACAAGGACTGAGGGTGCCCTGTCATTGTCCCCGCAAGACTCAACTTGCTGGCTGGCCTGGTCCCATGGGGCTGTTGCAGCCAACCCAGCGTGTAGCTAAAGGTCTGCACTTGGCCAGACTGGAGTGATCACAGAACCTAGAATATCCAAGCCCATTGCCCAGCCCAGCTGTTAAAAGATGATCTTTGCTGAAAGGAAAAAAAAAAAAAAAAAGGAAGAAAATAACAAAAGAATTTGTGGAACCACAGGTTCCATCAGAAATACAGGTCCTAACTCCTGTACAGTAGGAAGAATTACGGGCTTTAAAAAAGACAAACTACACTGTACAAAAAACACCAAACCAAAAGAAAACCTAATCACAGTGCTATACAGATCATAGAAAAAAAACTAAAAATACAGTCAGTGATAAACATCCATTTATGACAAGTGTCTTATCACAGAATGGTCAAGAATCTGAAGAGCTGTATCTGTCAATGAATGCAAGAGAAAGGATGGTTTTGGTCTTAAAACCACTTTAAATTGTAAAGAGCCTTTTCTTGTTTTGCACAAGGGAAAAGCTGTCAATTCAGAAACATGCCTAACAGGTGTGCTGATAACCAAGAAGGCAACCTTAAAAAGGTGAAATAGTCCAACTAAATGTCTTTAAATGTTTCAAAGGATGACCAATGAAGAGCAGAGAGACAAGGCTGACACAGAATTTGAGATGGGGGATTTATACGAGCAATTCCCTGTGAAAAAGTCCTAATAAGTGATTGACAGGCAAGAGGTTTCTGGAAGAGTATGGATAAGGCAGAAACCAGTCCCTTGAGGATGCTCAGGTCCAGCCATAAAAAAAAAAAAAAAAAAAAAAAAAAAAAAAAAAAAAAAGAGTATTCCCTGGGGTTAAGCCTTCTCTCCTGTCACCATGCAAAGAAGGCCTTTCATGTGGATGGTAAATCTTGCGGGAGATGGATTTCTTTGCTTGAGTAAGGGGGTAATAACAATCAAAGATAACCCTATATATGTTAGAACTTGGGTTTCAACAGCCATGCAGTTAAAGCCAGTACTTGAGAACCAATATGGAACAGGGAACCGTAGGCCAGGTAAGTCTGGGCTGCATGGAAAAGACCAGGACTTTTCTGCCAGAAGTCAGAGTATGTATGTATACTACTCACCTACCCTCCTCTCCTTTAGGCGCACCCTGAAAACCCCATCTCTTCAGGGAAGCCTACCCCACCCTCACCTAACAGCCGATCTCCTCCACTCCTCCCACCACTCCACCCCCCACAGCCACTTCCTCCTGTACCACTATCCCCTCCCTCCTAGATTGTAAGCTCGAAAGAGCAGGGCCCTCGAACCTCTCGTATATTGTTTTGTTACTGTATTGTCTCATACTGCCCCCCACTATATTGTACAGCACTGAGCAAACTCTTTGGCACTATATAAACCCTGTATATTATAATAATATATACTTTCTTCTGGACCAATTTGTTGCGATAAGGACCACCAGTATCCTTTCCTCCTATACTGTGTAGCAGTCAAGAGAGGATCTTCATCGGAGGGAAGGCATACATCAGTTGGAATGTCCAAACAATCATCTGAGCATCTGCTGCAAAGGTTAGAGGATCCCTGTTCTTGGCTACAAAGACCTGGTCTTGGCAAGCATTTAACAGAAGGCCATAACTTATACTTCCTATGCTTCTGGGGAAGAAAAATCCTGCACTTAAAAAAATCAATGTCCTCAATACATTACTCCACATCTTCCAAGTAAAGGAGGTTCTGCTTCCACTTCCTGGACAGGGCCATGTGGAAAAGAAGACGTGTAGCATTTTCAGCCTCTGAAAACAAGGTCCTAGAAGTGCCAAGAGTTTTCTAGAGAATGCCAGAGAAATCTGCCTTAGTCAGAGAGGCTGCATGGTGCATGCCTAAGAGGGAGCCAGATAATGAGTGGTACCACAGGACATTGCTCAGAGACAAGGGGAACAGCTATTACCCCGAGTGATGTTCTGCGTTTCCTGTAGGCAATCTGCAGAATACATACTATTTGGCCTTTTCGTCCCACATCCCTTATGCCTGTGATCAACCATTGCTAGAGAGGGATCCCTAGTCGAGTACTCATACTTAAGTGTGGAATGGATAGGGCTTTGTCCAACTAGGAACGAAAAAAAACACAATTTTAAAAATGCTCACTGAGAAACGTCTGAGACAAAATAGCAGAAGTTATCCAAATAAGTGAACAACCTCTGCCAACTAAACTGCATAGTGTGCTATGACATGTGGATAGTGTTGTATAAATGTTAAAAACCCAGTTTTACCTTAACCATGACACTGTGCCAAAAAAGTCCAGGCTTTTCCAATTACAGTGGCAATATCCCTTAATGGGTGTTCAGGGTCTGGGATCCATAAAAATGGACCACAGCCATGGACTTGTATAGTACCCTGCAGATAACAGGACATGTTGTGCCAAGGTGAGCTCTACTGCCAAATCCAGTGCCCAAAGCAAACATCACAGGTTGGCCCTTACACAGTGAGGTTAGGGTGTAGTCCTCAAGATACACACTGAGGATAACCAATCCAGGAACTTCTAGGTAGCACAAGGCAATAAGGACTCAGACATTGAAGGAAGATTCAGATGACAAAACGTCAATGGTTCAATAAAGAAAAAATACTTTTGGAGGAGAACAGGTCAGTGTCATTCATTCACAGTGTTCTGTTCTCAAACTACCACGGTGCTGTGGAGCACCATGGTAGTTCATTGATTCTGCCTGTCAATGTATCTGCTTGCCCGTACATCATTCCGTACAGGCAAGCAGATATACTGACAAGTCTGCAGGAGACCTGCATGGCACCAGCAATCTGCTGATCACTGGTGCAATGCTTTACAGGCTCCTGCAACCAAAAATAATTAAAAAATGTGCATTTATTATTTTTGGACAAAAAAAATTAATGTATCCTTTAAAGGACTGCAGCAAAAAACTAGAGCCTCATGGAGTAGACAAGATTATGCTTTCAGGGTTGCCCTAGCAAATGTTTTTGCCAGTGTCCATTCCCGAGGGTAGTGGCATGTAACCCATGGTTTGTGGATACCAGTTCTGCCTCCTGTATTGTATGATTAACAAATAAATAAATAGGTTAATCTCTAATACAGCACAGCTGTAGAAAAACATCCTTTTAAGGATGGAGTTCTATTGTTGATCTTGCTCTGTTTTTGACAGCATCATTTTCAGCGTTTACGCCACCCTCTTTGAACTGGCTGCAATACATTAAGAAGTACATTTTTTAATCAGTGAATGTGACTGCAGATGTATCTGCCAGGTGTATGTGTTTTAATGAATGTGGCAGATTCACCACCAGTGAATGTTTGAGAGTCACATCCACTGCTTTAAAGTGGCAGTAAACACAAAATTACAATTTACAATGACAATTTCTAGTTGAGGCTCTAAAACCCGATTTCCTAACTGTGGGCTCAATTCACGAAGAGATATATATACCGCTTTAAGAAATGCAGTAAAATTATTGCTTAGTGTTTTTCAAAAATGTTTTCTCATACATAACTAAAACACTGTATGCACTATTTTTTGAAGTGATGCTGTATCTTAGTAGTGAAAGCTTGCGGTATTTTAAAGCTGGCAGTAGCGGCATCCTTAAACCGTAAATAGCTGGGTTTTAAAGGAATGGGTGGCTGCCGCCATCCTAACAAATATAACTCATCTGCTGTCAGCGGGGAAAAACGTGTGCGGACATCTCAACAAAGAAGATAAAAAAAAAAAAAAAAAAAAAAAGGACATATTTGCAATGATTGCAATTCTGCATTATATTATAGACACTTTTAATTATTCAGATGCCTAAAATGGTGGATATGGGTTTAATATACTCTATGCTGGAAGGCATTTTTGTCTACTTTTATTAAGGAATATCTTTGTATATTTATGGATATTTTTTTTATACTTTTTAGGTTTTGCATTACACATCTAATTTAGCTCAGATTTTCTGACCCATGTCACCAGAGTACCATTGAATATTATTTTTTACTTCCATCTCACCTTCACCCTGTTCACCGCTTCTTGTGCTTGTCTCATTTGGGTACTTGGCATTTGGTGTCTTTCACATTCCAGTTGTGTAGATCCAAGATACCTGGCCCCAAAAATTACTCCACCCAGCAAATCTTCTGGATCACAAGGGCCTGGAACTGATTAGAATAAAAAAAAATATATATTTTTATTATATATATTAATATATATATATTCATTAGCAATCCTCACCACAGAATTTTAAAAGACTAAATTGCATTTCTTTTACATAACATGGATGTACAACAGCATGCATTGCAGTGCATTAGATGCAAGTTTTTTCAGTTCCTTTTTGGGTCATCTTGCCACAGTGGGTACTAACAGACCCTGGGTTTATGGGCTGAGACTTTTCAGGTAAGTGGACAAAAGCAAAACTTTGCTGGACACACTCTCACCTGGGCATACCCCTATAACCCTACCCTATTCAGATCTCTTTTTTTTTAGCAAACCATGCAGAGTAACACTGGAACAGAGGGGAGGGTGTACGCCAGGATATAACATTTCTTACATCTTAATCATACAGGACAGTACACAAGCTAGATTTTAATAGACTCTGTGATGTCCTCAAGCAATAAACAAGAAAGGTGGGCAGCAACAGGACAAACAGAAATGTGCCAACAGGTCCAACAATAACAAGGTCAACAGACCCAGCTAAGTTCTGCTGCAAGAACCTTGCATCCAAAAGCTGGATTCTCAGAAACATGGACATCCACCTGGTAGCACTTGGAGAAAGTATGAACTGAAGGCCAGGTGGGAACCTTGCAAAGCTAGGAAAATGATCTGGTGGGGTTAGCAAGTAAACTGGTAGTTCTCACAATGTACACACAGTGAAGATCAATCTCTTTGGGGTGCTTTGGGGCAGGGCACAAAAATCCATAAGGAAGGGTGACAAATTGGTAACACTGATTGCCCACTACAAAATGCAGATAGCACAGAGGAGGCAGACAGTTCAGAATGTGCAAATAAGCATCCCAGATGTCTATGAGGTAAAGATGAAATCCCCTGGAAAAAAGGATGCAATCACCTACCAGGCAGTTTACATGCCAAATGTTTGCCTCCCCATAGTGGAGTCTTCAGGACCAGATTGGCCTGCAATCCTTAAAAGGAGAAGTACAGCCTCTTTAGGCAGTACTTATGTGGATCACAGGAGTGCAGTTCGTTCTGCACTCCTGTGACTCGTTTTTTTTTTCAGCCCATAAATAGTTGTAAAATATAAAAATGAGGCCCTGTGGATTCCTAGGTATGCTCCTCCAAGTGAAGGACCGACTTGTACAATGAATGGTTTGTCAAATGATTCAGTGGTTTGCACATTTTTTTTTTAATTATTTGTTGGATATAAATGCCCACCACTACCTCTATGGTTAGGCCCAATCCAGGTCAAACATTATGTATTTGAATTGTGACACTTATTAATCAATAAAGAAACATGGATAGCACAATTGTAATCATGCTAGACTGTACAAGCACTAAATGGTGCATGTAATTTTTTCTATGTGCCCATCAATGTCCCCAAAATAGAGATAAAAACAGGCACGCTGCATTTTTCTGCATAACACTAGAGCTCAACTGAAGTCAGCGTTGGTCACTGCATTGCAGCTCTGCTGCAGTAGATTGACATGATTGAAATGTAAAAAAAAAAAAAAAGTGAAAAAGCAAAAAAAAAAAAGAATAAAATATATTGAGGGGGTGGATGGGAGGTAGGGAGGTTACATGTCTCAGGGTAATGAAGGTCTGCTTTCAATAATTTCCTTCAAAGTGTAACACCAAGTTACTTTATTGCATCCAATCAGAAATCACCATTATACTGTAATTAGGTAACTTTTCAGGCAATCGCTACTTATGAAGAAATATCACAATACTCTAGTAGTACTGTATTCCCAGATTCAGGTGCTAGTCGAGTTCACCATAGTCTTATAGGTTTATTATGTATGCAATAATAAACAAACATCAAATGCATCATCTGCTTCAAATTGCCATGATCAATCCCCTTTATTTCTCATGTAATAAATTCCAAACTCCAGTACTGCAGACTTATTGCACGGTTTTATTGCAATCAAAGTGGTTCTAAAGGCTCAAGGTTTTTTACCTTCATGCATTCTAAAACCTGTGTGCATCCCTCCCAGCCTCCACTTATACTCACCTAAGCCACCCTCTCGATCCAGCAATGTGCACTGGTGTCTCGGCTATCCTGCTACTCGCTCTGCTCACTGGCTGAGACAGAAGCGGGAGCCATTGGCTCCCACTGCTGTCAATCACAGCCAGTGAGACAATGAGAAGAGAAGGAGCGGGGCCGAGTCATGACTCCATGTGTGAATGGACACAAGGAGCAGCGGGTGCCCCTATAGCAAGCTGCTTGCTGTGGGGGCACCCAACAGGGGGGAGGGGCCAGGAGCGCTGGCAGGGGAACCCAGAAGAAGAGGATATGGGCTGCTCTGTGCAAAACCAATGAACACAACAGGTAAGTATAGACATGTTATTTTTTATTACAAAAAAAAAAAAAGCCTTTAGAATCACTTGAAATAGCAAAAGTAGCCACCTTACATAAGCATTAAAAGCATTTCATATTATTTTTTGGAAGATGAGTTAGATCACAAATGGTTAGAATTCACGGCAATGCTGTATTTTTGTAAAAGCAAAATATTAGGCCTGGTTTACTCCAGTGCATTTTTTATGCTTTTTGCAGAAACACACTACAGTCCATTTAACATGGTTCATGTTCACATCTATGCGTTTTTCAGCTGCTGCATTTTTTGAAAGGGTCAGGGACTTTTTTAAAAAACTCGAAACAGTGCATTTTTGGTTCAATAGACTTCAATGGATATGCTGCAGAAACTGCATGCAGTGTGTTTTTAATCTGCTCAGCAACAAGTTTGGCAGAAAAATGAAAATAAAACCCCATAAAAAAAAAACAAAAAACAAACAAACACGTGTACAGAGACGCAAAACAAACTGCAAAAAGCACTGCAGAAATGGAAGGCTACGTTCACACTAGCGTTGTGTGCAGGCGGCAGATAGGCGTTTGGGAAGCTGTAAAAACGCTTCCCAAACGCCTCGAACAATTCTGCACATTGCAGCACATGGTGCTGTTAACTAACGGAGCGTTATCATTGCGTCGCGGCAAAACGGACACCTCTGGTCGAGTCAGGAGGCGTTGAAGCCTCCTATTCTAGTCTATGGTGCCGCTCCGCAAACGCCCGGCCGGTTGCGAAGCGGTTGCGGGGCGTTTGCAAAGCGGTAACACCATTAAACTTCATTATAGGCATTTGTGGGGCGTTTTTAAACACTCGGCAAACGCCTAGCATCCGCTGCTAAACCGCGCATGCGGTGTTTGTGGAGCATTAAAAAACGCTCCGCATACGCTGGACCAACGCTTTGCAAACGCTATAACGCTATAACAGTCAAGTGTGTACCAACGAACCCTTACAGTGAAGTCGCACGATTTCAAAATCAGGTGACCTGCTGATTTCATTTGCGATTTGCAAGACATCTGACACAGATGTCTATTCAAAACACAACAAAAGTAGTGCATGCACTACCAAGTTGCCTGGCATGCAAATCATATGCCAAGTCGCACCCAATGTGACAGGGGCGTTAGTCTCATTGCTCTCACCTAACACCTGTGGGAGGCCTTATGCACCAGAAATGAGGATCGCCTACACAATCGGTAAAGTCCACTGCTCAGCTAAGCCTGTCAATCAGGTGTGTCCCTCATCCATAGGTGCTCTACTGGGTGCAGTGGTTCAACAGAAAAGAGTTTGTGCTTGAGCTGAAGTCAGTTAGCAGTTGAATGGCCTAACAAAGTGTTCAAACGTGCACCACTGCAATATGCACGTATCACCAAGGGGTTGAAATCAACAGCATATCACAATATAGATGATATGCTGTTGTGAACGGCAGGGCTGGAGTTTACTTTGGAAGAGGAATGGATCCATCACATTTTGTAGAACAGTACAGTTTTAAGGTTTGATACTGTATAAATTTATAATATATATATATAAAATCTCTATCTATATCTATTTTAAATTGGTTCTATTCCCACACAGTTTTTTTTTTTTTTTACATTAATGCATTCCCTGCATTTAAGGTAAAAAACACCCCCCTACTTGTCCTAGCCTCACATCTCTAAACATTTACCGGAGTCCTCTATCAGTCCAGCGCTGTGATTCACTGCAGGTCTTCCCTCTTCTCTCCCTGCTCTTACTACATACTGGCTCCTGGATCCATTGTCTCCTGCTGCTGTCAGTCCAATCCTGTGTGGAGGGAGTTGGGAGCATGGCTAAGCCACACCCACACAGGTGCCCCCATAGCACATGGCCAGCTATGGGGACACTTACAGGGAGAAGATATGGACAGTGCCAGGAGGGAACCACTGAAGAAGAGGTAAGGGGCCACTTTGTGCAAAATTGTTTGCACAGAGCAGGTAAGTAAACATCTTTTAATCAAAAACAAATTACCCTTTGAAAACCGCTTTAATAATCTGGCTAGTACCGGAATCTATTTGAAATATTGGTACAACGTAGTAATATTCTTTCATCAAGTAGCGATTGGCTGAAAAGATACAAAATGCATAGATTGATTTGGTTTTTAATTTTGAAGACAATTTCCCTTGCAATTTCCAAAGACATTGATACTTTGAGTTACAGCCATAGAACAAGCATTCAAATCAGTAATCTGACTTTATCTACAGTTGTTCGAGGTCAGTTGCTCAAAAAAGGTAATAAATGACATGTACAGTTTAAAATTTTTGAGGATATGTTCAAAATCCTCCACTCCTACTAGTTGAAAGGATTCTTAGAATACCCATCTTAATAAGATTTTTTGTGAAAGTTTGGCAATGGGATAGTACATCTGAGAATATTACCAAGACTCACCAGGAGCCAAACACACAACACACACACACACAACACACACACAACACACACACACACACCTCGTTTACAAAATCTTTAGTGATGCTAAGAAAAAAGTATGTGGGATCAGGGACCTGTGTGCATGTGCAAGATCATAAGTAGGGGCCCCGTTGTTTGAATGAATGGAGGGGCAAAAAAAAATTGCAGAGTGCTTAATATGATGCCAGTGGATGTGGCCAAATTGCAATTAACAAACAAGGTCAGTCTGTCCCCCAGGTCAGTCTATGTCCTAGTATAATCCTTCCCCTCTATGTCAATCTGTCCCCCAGTTTAATCCCCCCAGGTCAGTCTGCCCCAGTACAATCCCCAGTACAATACCTCCCCCCCCATCTGTCTCCTAGTATAATTACCCACAGATCAGTCTGTTCCCCAGTACAATCCCTCCCAGGTCAGTATATCCCCAGGAAAATCCCCCTGAAGTTAGTCTGTCCACCGGTATAATCCTCTCCAGGTCAATCTCTCCTCCAGCATAAAGACTAGATAACTTACAAAATTCTTACTAAGGCCTTGTTCACATGGGGTTAAATAAAATGTACACCCATGTGAGGGCCATATATGTACATGCACATCCCTGTGTAGACAGTCCCATTCATGTCAATTGGCACACAGTACTGTACGAACCGGTGTTTTGAATCGGAGATCCATGTGGGTGCACAGCTTGAATGCAGGCAGTGTGACTTTAGAGACACACAACCGTACAAATGTCAAAAGCAGAGGCTGTTTGTGCAGAGCTGCTGTGTCCCAATTGACATGAATGGGACTGCCTGCATCCCTTTGCGGGTGTAATATGGGCTCGTATTCGTGTAAGCTGTAGTATTCCCCGTGTAAACAAGGCCTTACTATTTTTTTTTTAAGTTTTGAATTTAATTTTAACAGTATTATTTTTAATATTTTTCACTTTTTATTTTTTTGGGGGGGCTTTAGTGAAACATCAGGGGTTTAAAACAGACCCCTGATGTCTCGTTTGAGACAGAGAAAGGGACTCTCGGGTTATGTTGCAACCTTTACCCCATTTCCTACAGTGCTCAGCACTCTAGGAAATATTCATTGCATAAAAAAAAAAAAAACAACAAAACACACACACACACACACACACACTAGCGACAGGTACATTGGCTGGCTGCTCTGTTTATTGCGTTTCTGATCACTAGCAGCAGTACAAGGGTCACCAACCCAGTGCAGCGAATAAGTATTTCTGATTGTTGCCACACCAGTCACATTGTACGTCATCAACAGTGTTCCTGATAGTCATCACACTAGTGCCAGTATCACCAGATCAGTGTTAGCCAGCAACATTGCTCCCGATTGCCACCATACCAGTGCAAGCCAGCAACAGTGTTCCTAATCACTGACATGAGTCTCATTGTCACCAGACCACTATAAGCAAGCAGCAGTGTTGATGATCACCATCATACCAGTCCCATTGCCACCCTACTAGTGTAAGCCAGCCACAGTGTTCTTGATCACACCACCTCAGAAGCCAGCAATGGTGTTCCTGATCACAGTTAGGCAAGTCCCAATGTCACCAGGTCAGTGTAAGAGTAAGTGTTCCAGATCACTGCCACAGCAATCTGCATGTCACCAGATCAGTGTCAGTCATCAACAATGTTCCTGATGGCTAGCAATCTGTAGTGATCCTGGTCTGATCCCTTGCCTGTTTGCCGATGACACATCTGCAAGACACTGGTCTCAGCCTCTCCCCGCCAAGAGCTGCACTCCTGATACAACATTAACTCTTTTTTTATACTTTGTTCCTGTACCTCCTAGCCAGTGAACGTGACATTTCTGGGCGCAGCCACATACCAGCAGGTTAAGGTTCCTTTGCTTAGAGGAGCAGGGACAACTACACGTAACAGTACACTAAGCCATTTTCCCCTCATAACTTGTAAAGAGGCAGTCATGTACAGTAAACGGTTTCAGATACAATTGGTTGATTTTTGTGACGCACAAGATAAAATGTCTAGTATATAAAATCGGACAAAACACTGAAAAATTCTCACACATTTGGTACCAGAATACTCGGGAGGAATAGAATGTGTTTTTGGTGAAATTCTAAGTGTGTCCATGCGGTTTATAAAAACATTATCATGAATTTTTTTTTTTTTTTTTACACAAAGTTGGCAATGTAATATTTTCTTTCCACATTTTCCAAAAACTTTTGGCAAAAAAAAATGAAAAATTCTTCAAAAGTCTCACCATGCCTCTTAAAAAATACTTTGGGGTATTTACTCTCCAATGTGTAGTCACTTTGTGAGTGCATCTACTTTTTGCCATGGTTCTCCAGTGCCTCCAGTGGAGATTTGCCTCCAAATAGTATTGTGTAGTAAGGAAATTCGATATTTATTCCCCATGAAAGTCTAAAGGGGTTTCTTGAATTTTGGGCCCCTCTATGTGGCATCCCTATACTCTGGAAGGGTAGCAGAATGTGTTTTGAGGTATAATTCTCAGTATGCTCATACTTTCTTCATTTTCCAAAAAGGGTGTAGAAATAAATGAAAACTTAAAAAAGGACTTGCCATGCCTCCTAAATACTTTTGGGTGTTTGATCTCCAAAATGTGGTGGTGGGCGTTTCTACTGTCCTGGTGTTCCAGGGCCCCCAAAATCTGATCAGTATTTAGGAAATTACATGCATACCCTATGCCCCTTTAAAATCCTGAAGATGCTACATGGATTTTGCACCCCTCTATGCAGTCTGGCTTCAAAAAAAAAAAAAAAAAAAAAAAAAAAAGTCTCACGTGTATCCTCACACTCAGGAAGAGTAGCAGAATGTGGTTTGGGGTGTAAATCAAAGTATGCCCTTGCTGTGTGCTAAAAAGTAGCTTATAAATTTACGAGTTTGTGTAAAAAAAACAAATTTTCATTCCACATGTTCCAAAAGTTTGTGGCAGAAAAATGAAGTCTTCAAAAGACTCACCATGCCTCTTAAAAATACAGACTGATTTTACGGTTGTTGGTTTAGTAACACTTTAAAGCAGAACTTTACCTGTAATAACTTGATAAAAAATAATGTTCTTTAACAAGGAACATACATTCCACAATAATTATGCTACCAGATATTTGTAAGAAAATTTGAAGCCCATTTATCATTTTCCTTCCATTTCACAATTATGTGCCACTTTGTGTTGGTCTATCACATAAAATCCCAATAAAATACATTTACATTTTTGGTTGTAACATGACAAAACGTGGAAAACTGCAAGGGGTATGAATACTTTTTCAAGGCACAGTATTTGGCCATGTGTGTCTAAAAACGTTTGATATATAGGTAGCATTTTTTTTTTTTTTAAATCGGAAATATTCTAGCAAACCAGGGCAATACAAACTGGGCAAATCTTTCAGAACTACAAGCCGCCATACGCTAATTGTAGTTCATGCATGCACAGGAAACTGTGAATGAATAACTCGTGGGCAGAGCTCTGCGTGACCGTACTGCTTTTGAATTGTGACATGGGTGTGGGGAGAAGAACCCCAGCCCGCTTTCAAAATGAGTGGATGATCGGGAAAACTGACCACCCAAGCTGGAACATGTGACATGTTCCACCCAAAATATGGGTGCAACATGTAACGTGTTCCAAAAGGTGAACTTATCCTAAACGTTTAGGACTCATGCACACTGGACATTTTTTCAGCCGCTTCTAGGGGCATCTTTTTTTTCTGCCTCTCAATGCCCCTGCATGTTAGCCTATGTGCCCATGCACAGAGAGGCTTTTAGAGGACTTTAGACTGCCAATGCATCAATTGACAGATGTGTTTTGGCAGGGGAAGAAGAAAAAAAAAAAAAAAGGAATTGATACATGTAAACATGTCTAAACGCACGTTAACGCTAGGCACGTTTAGCATTTGAGCCTTAAAGTGTTCATTCATTTCAAAGGCCAGAATAAGATGATTATTCTAGCCAGTGACAGTAAAGCCAAATGCATGATGTAACTAAATGCTCCTAAACGCACGTTTACAAGTGTCAAGAGATTTTTATGTCAAAATGCTGCTGCCAGGAGGAAAGATGAGAGAAAGAGAAATGTCCAGTGTGCAGGTAGCCTCACAAGAAATGTTGAGATGTGTATACAAACTTCAGCTGCCTAGATCTCAGGATCTACCTCCGCTCATATTTTTTACCTCATCATACGCCACTTTTTGTGTGTTTTTGTTTGTGTGTCATTTATACATATTTTATTGTTCAGGTTCTTTAGGTATAATGACACACATGTACATCCAGCTCTGTGACCTTTCAAATAATCTTCAGATTTTTGTCTATCTCATCTGGATTATCTACCAGCCAAACCTTGGACGCTTCAGCTCACTGTAAGTGATATACACCATACGCCCAATAACAATCTTTCTTGCTGACTTCACGTATATGCATCTCATTTCTCATCTGAGTTATGTTTCTTTGGGCAGGTGTATTCTCACATACTACCATTCCCATCAAAAACCCTCATGACACATAAATAATCAGTGGCTGGATAGGTCATATGCATGCCTTCCCCGCTGGCCACTGTTTTTCCCACTGGCTCATACAACCCACACTGATGTATGCGCCAGTGGGAGGAACCACGGCAGCTTGTGGGAGAAGCAAGCATCCAAGCCTAAAAGGTGAAAAAAAAGCACATCTTTTACAGGTGGGCTTTCCTCTAAATGTGACCCTGTGGTGATAGGATTATTTTATGTTTGAACCTATAGTGTCCTTTTTGAGACATCGCTTTGATTATACCACAGTCAATACAGGCAAATTCTTATGAAAAAATTAGAGCTCCTACACATAGCTTGAATCAAATTGCCCCATGGTCTTCTACTGCACAACTAGTGCAGTATAACAAGAAAGGAACATGTACAGCAGTATGTTAAATGGCTATTCAGTTATTGAGAAACACATATTCTTAACAAAGCGGTCATATCTTACATTAAATGCCAGTCTATTAGATGACAGTTTACTTTTGGCATTATGCTCCTTAATGGGAATTACCATTTAAAAGTTCAATGGCTTCAAACTTAATGGATTCATTCACTGTATATAGATATACCTTTTGCCACAGCTGGGTAGTGAGGAAACCGCATCTGAGTCTGTGGGAAGAAAAGACTAAATAAATACGATAAAAAAATAAAAATCTATATTGAAAATATACAACAAAAATGTAAGACGGTGTAGGATTAACATATTCTAAAAATATCTGTCGAGCATTAAAACAGTAGTAAACTCGTTAAAAAAAAAAAAAAAAAAAAAATCAAAACAAAAAAAAAAAACAGTTTCCCCCTGCAAAGTATTATCAATGTGCTAGTAAGCATTGTCAGCTGTCACCACTGACAGGACTTCCATCTTCATCCATTCTTCTTTCTGGGTTCCCGAGCTGCAGCTGCTTGAATGGCAGAACCGCAGATGACGTCACTACCGTGCATGTGTGCGGAAGTTTCAGCTACGGCACACAGCTCTGAAGGAACGGCACGGGTATGCCGTTCCTTCAGAGCGCAAGCACTGGTGATATCACCGGCTGCAGCTCTGTAGAATATCGCCTAAACGGTGCACATTTAGGAGATATTAATTTTACCTACAGGTAAGCTTAGAATACTTTAATACTACTTTAATGTATATTACATTGCATCTGATTTTTGTTATATCACAGAAGTGCTACAGACAACTCACACTAAAACCAACACACACACACGTAAGTACACTCCATAGAAATGATTTCATTTTTTCAAACAGTGCCTACAGATAAAGGTGATATATTTTAATATATGAAAGTATTTTCATAATCTAAATGAAATAAAACACAGATCTGTCATGTGGGAAAAAGTATATATCCTACATTTACCCCCACTTTAAATCCACAAAATTAGAATCAGGTGTTCAAGATTAGGTGCCAATGATTACATCTCCCTTAGGGAGTTTGCAGGTAGAATCGGCCTTATTTAACCACTTGCCTACAGGGCACTTTTACCCCCTTCCTACCCAGACCAATATTCAGCTTCCAGCGCTGTCGCACTTTGAATGACAATTGCACGGTCATGCAACACTACACCGAAACATTTTCATAATTTGAGACAAATAGAGCTTTATTTTGGTGGTATTTAAATCACCACTGGGTTTTTTATTTTTTGCTAAACAAAAAAAAAAAAAAAAAAAAAAAAAAAGACTGAAAATTTGAAACAAAAACGTTTAATTTTTGGTGTAAAATTTTGTAAATAAGTAATTTTGCTCCTTTAAAAGAGTGCTAATTGTTGGTGCCGTATAGCTGGTGCCTCTGTAACTGAAGTTGCCAATTTATTCACTGTGTCGTGAGGTATAGTATCATAGGTTATGACGGCATATAGAGTTTCCGGTAAAACATAGTCTGATAAGCATAAGCGCAGTCAACATGGTCAACTGACCAAAAGAGACAAAAATTACATTGAGCAGGATTGTGACCCGGAATAAGAAAACTTCTGCAAAAGTGACTGCAGAGCTCAATCCAGCACCGTGAAGACTGAGACTAGTGATCATGCAAAACTCCTCTAGCCTCCCAAACACAGCTCCCAGGTTCTTCAAGCTCAAAGTGTTTCCAAGAAGCCTCTGCAGGAGGACTATATGACCCTTGACTGGTTCAGTCTTCTGACTCTTTACCTATTTGACCACATTTTCATGTTTTCCCTCTATCGCGGGGTTTGCAACGGAAGGTATCGCATTGCTCTTTCATCCCCATGGCACTTATCTGGCTGTCCTTAAATGTCCAGGGTATGAATTCCCCCCCCCCCCAAAAAAAAAAGAATAAAAAGTACTTAACGCGCATCTAAATACTTTGATGCACGTTACCCTCAGGTTTACCAGGGGACCGACCCTACCAAACAACGGTGGGTCCTTATTGCCTTCCATAAAACTCTTCTTTTAGCTGCAAGAAACAAATCATTGATCCAAATGGCAGGTACCTCTCACTACAAGGTACAATCCAATCCCAGACACGGAAATCACAATTATGACCCACTAAGCTCCTAACAACAATCCAGGACCCTTCCTGACCCACATCTGCTCACTTTTCACAGCACCCTCCTGGTAGTGGGTGACCCCAATCTGGCGTTATCAAGTATGGTTCAACACCATATTTGGTTTAAGTATCCCTCGGATAGTTCCACTCCGTCAACTGATGTAAAGCAATTTTCTCAAGCACTGAGGATTCATGATCTGGTATATCTCTGGCGTGAGCTTCACCCCCATGGTAGAGACTTTACACACACTCACCTACACCATTTTCACTCCAGAACATGCCACGTCTTTATGTTGCGTAAACACCTCCCTTTGGTACAATCAACAACTATTCTCACGGCACCACGGACTGACCATGATCCTATTCTTTGTGCTTTGTCGCTCTTCTCTGCAAACTACAACACTCCCCATGGGTCATGAATATTTTGATACTTTCGTTGAAGGAGATTCAGACAGACCTCCTGCAAATATCCTCTATTTCCAACTCAACACAGGGTCTGTCATCTCCAGTGGCCTTATGGGAAGCCTATAAAGCAGTCCTCCATGGCCACATCATACACTTAGCAATGAAACGCAAAAGAGAGCAACAACACAAAACGCCAACTTGAGGCTCAGCTAGCATCTCTACAATTCAAACAGTCACCCACTCCTTCCAAACGTAAATTATTATACCAGTTCCGTATGGATTTAGACACTTGTCTAACACATGGGGCCGAAAGTTCCTTGTAGCAGACCTGTCAAAAATGGTATATTAAGGCCAACAAACCAGATACAATGCTGGCCAATAGGCTACGCTCTTTTGTCCATAATCCTAAACCAATCTCTTTACACACCCACCACAATGTTCTCACTATTAACCCACTACGGGTATTGGAGAAATTTAGGCACTGTCCCACTAAGCTTTATACAGACCCCACACAGGGTAACGCCCAAGACATTGCAGATCTTCTGAATCAGCGGTCTTTAGCTGTCCAGATATCGGAAGCCCTACAATGTATTAATCTAAAGGCGAGCAAACGTCCTGGCCCAGATGGCTATATGGCATTGTACTATAAGGAAAAACTGGCTAACGTTCTCGCACCCCATCTAGCAGCCATATACAATTTGGTAAAGACCAGCTAGGACCTTCAAAATTTACGGATTATCAATATTGTAATGATCCTGAAACCCGACCAATACCATACAGGGATGTGCAATTCATATCGCCTGACGCCTGGGACATGCAGTTCTGGACACCAGGCAGGTAGGTTTTTTTGCCTTTAACCCTGCTGCTGCCCGATTGCTTCTACACAGCCCACAGTGCCAGTCTCTCTCCCCTACCCGCTATATGTCCTGAGCTCAGCTTGCCCATCTGTGGGCCCAGGACTGGTTCAGTGGGTGCTGGCGGATGTGGTATAAGGGAGGAAAGCAGACACATCCGCTCCCCTTCCATTCTTGTCCTGACCTGGAAGTGATGTGACATCACTTCCGAGTCTCTGTTTGATAGATTCCTGGTCATTGAGGCCAGGAAAGAATATAATGTGGTGAGATGTGCACTGCATTACATTCAGGGGAGATTTTTTTTTTTTTAAATGGAAGTAAAACGCTAAGCATATAACCCCCCCAAATTTTTCAAGGCCCCAACCCCCACATATGTATGCACGCACAACATAAAAGCATGCACTGGGGCACCTACACATGAAAACATTGATTGCGATACAAGTTACAGATCGTCGTGCACACCAGAATGAGAGCAATAATTCAAGCACCAGGCCTCCTCCGTAACGCTAAACTGATTACCTATAAGGGGCTTTAAAACTGCCACCTATAGGGTACTAAAGTTTGTTGCCGTTTCACAAGTGCACACAAATTTAAGGTTTGCCAGGTTGGAGATCTATTTACTTGATGTAACCTCGTATTTTATATTTTACAAAAAAATTTGATAATCTATTGCTTTTTGTGCCGTAAAATTAAACAAGTGTATTTTTTACTGAAATTTTGCAATATCGTGCGACATAAAAAATGTAAACTACCGCTATTTTATTCTCTAGGATCTCTGATTTCAGAAAATATAGCAAAAAAACCAGCTCTGGCAGCGAAATGGATAAGGATAAACCAGACACTCCCCTTTCCTGACGAGCACCCAATCGGTGCTAATTACTCTGCAAGGTCTCTCTCCTTCCTACTAGTCCCCAGGTATGGTGCTGGAGAGAGGCAGGGAGGGGAGGAGGAGATAAACAGCGCAATGTTAAAAATATTAAACATTTAAGTCGCCATAAAGCCCCTTTTGTTTTTAAAAATCCCAGACATTACTTGAAGCAGATTTAAATACGGTTTTTGTTAAAATTTATGTTTTTTTTATCAGGAAAAGTAGATTTGTCATGAGGGACAAGTAGATTGGGACACCGATTTAATCCCAGTAGTAGTTTTTTTCAAAAATTTCCACACCCCTGCCATACCTCCTGGGCCAACTATAAGCCTCTCTCTCATCAGCATTAACATCAAAATTCTCACCAAAATCTTAACTAAACACCTGAATTTCTTCCTGACCCGTCTAATTAAAAAGGGCCAGGTGGGCTTCGTCCCACATCAGCAGGCAGGGGATGCCATCAGACGTGCTTTGCAATTACAGCACTTAGCCCACCACCGCTTGGTAGATATGATGCTTTTATCACTGGATATTAACTACCTGCCGACCGCAGATAGCCGAATGACGGCTACACTGCGGCCGGCCAGTTCTGGGTGGACGTCATATGACGTCCTCCCAGAACGCGCTCTCCTGCGCGCCCCAGGGGGCGCGCACCCGGCGATCTCCGTGATCGCTGTGTCCTACGGACACAGCTGATCACATGATGTGGTAAAAGGCCAATCACAGCAGCCTTTTACCACATGATCAGCGGTGTCCAATGACACGCTGATCAGAGGAAAATGCAAGTGCCGGTTCTCGGCTGCACTTTCCTCACGCTGTCAGATCGTGAGGAAAGTACTGCCGAGAACCGGCAGTTGTCAGAGCGGGGATCGGCACCGATCATCAGGGCACTGATGATCAGTGTCCCGATGATCGGTGCCCAGCAGTGCCACCTGCAAGCTCCGCCCACCTGTGCCCAGCAGATCACCCACCAGTGCC